CAGTGCTAACATAGTGCTTACAGAATGCTAACACAGTGCTAACAGGATGCTAAGATAGTGCTAACAGAATGCTAACACAGTGCTAACAGGATGCTAACATAGTGCTTACAGAATGCTAACAGGATGCTAACATGATGCTAACACAGTGCTAACATAGTGCTAACACGATGCTAACAGAATGCTAACAGGATGCTAACAGAATGCTAACACAGTGCTAACAGGATGCTAACACAGTGCTAACAGGATGCTAACATGATGCTAACATAGTGCTAACAGGATGCTAACAGGATGCTAACAGGATGCTCATTACCTCCACAGTTGCTGTTGGCCAGGATTCCTCCTCGAGGGTCGTCATGAAACTCGTGAGCCAGATAAAACATGGAGGTCAGAGCTCCTGTTGGGTCACAAACACAAACACAGTCTCAGCTCCGAGGCTGCAGAGGTCACATGGTTCATACAGCAGGTTTCCATGGTAACATCTGAACCTTTAGTGTAGCAGGCGAGACCGAGGTAGTTCACTGCACTCTGATGGACCTTCAGACGCTCCTCAGAGGACGCCGCACACCTGAAACACACACAGGTTCACTTCTGTAGGTACAGGAGGAGGAGGTGGAGGAGGAACAGGAGGAGGTAAAGGACGAGGTAGAGGTGCAGGAGGTAGAGGAGGAGGTAAAGGATGAGGTAGAGGAGGAGGAGGAGGTGGAGGAGGAGGAGGTGGAGGAGGAGGTAAAGGACGAGGTAGAGGAGGAGGAGGTACAGGAGGAGATAGAGGAGGTAGAGGAGGAGGAGGTGCAGGAGGTACAGGAGGAGGTAGAGGAGGAGGTAGAGGAGATAGAGGAGGAGATAGAGGAGGTAGAGGTGCAGGAGGTACAGGAGGAGGTAGAGGAGGAGGTAGAGGAGATAGAGGAGGTAGAGGTGCAGGAGGTACAGGAGGAGGTAGAGGAGATAGAGGAGGTACAGGAGGAGATAGAGGAGGTAGAGGTGCAGGAGGTACAGGAGGAGGTACAGGAGGAGGTAGAGGAGGAGGAGGTACAGGAGGAGGTAGAGAAGGAAGTAGAGGAGGAGGAGGTACAGGAGGAGGTAGAGGAGATAGAGGAGGAGGTAGAGGAGATAGAGGAGGTAGAGGTGCAGGAGGTACAGGAGGAGGTAGAGGAGATAGAGGAGGTAGAGGTGCAGGAGGTAGAGGTGCAGGAGGTACAGGAGGAGGTAGAGGAGGAGGTAGAGGAGATAGAGGAGGTAGAGGTGCAGGAGGTAGAGGAGGAGGTAGAGGAGGAGGTAGAGGAGATAGAGGAGGAGATAGAGGAGGTAGAGGTGCAGGAGGTACAGGAGGAGGTAGAGGAGGAGGTAGAGGAGATAGAGGAGGTAGAGGTGCAGGAGGTACAGGAGGAGGTAGAGGAGATAGAGGAGGTACAGGAGGAGATAGAGGAGGTAGAGGTGCAGGAGGTACAGGAGGAGGTACAGGAGGAGGTAGAGGAGGAGGAGGTACAGGAGGAGGTAGAGAAGGAAGTAGAGGAGGAGGAGGTACAGGAGGAGGTAGAGGAGATAGAGGAGGTAGAGGTGCAGGAGGTACAGGAGGAGGTAGAGGAGATAGAGGAGGAGGTAGAGGAGATAGAGGAGGTAGAGGTGCAGGAGGTACAGGAGGAGGGAGAGGAGGAGGTAGAGGAGATAGAGGAGGTAGAGGTGCAGGAGGTACAGGAGGAGGTAGAGGAGATAGAGGAGGTAGAGGTGCAGGAGGTACAGGAGGAGGTAGAGGAGGAGGTAGAGGAGATAGAGGAGGTAGAGGAGGAGGTAGAGGAGATAGAGGAGGTAGAGGTGCAGGAGGTACAGGAGGAGGTAGAGGAGGAGGTAGAGGAGATAGAGGAGGTAGAGGTGCAGGAGGTACAGGAGGAGGTAGAGGAGGAGGTAGAGGAGATAGAGGAGGTAGAGGTGCAGGAGGTAGAGGAGGAGGTAGAGGAGATAGAGGAGGTAGAGGTGCAGGAGGTACAGGAGGAGGTAGAGGAGATAGAGGAGGTAGAGGTGCAGGAGGTACAGGAGGAGGTAGAGGAGGAGGTAGAGGAGATAGAGGTGCAGGAGGTACAGGAGGAGGTAGAGGAGGAGGTAGAGGAGATAGAGGAGGTAGAGGTGCAGGAGGTACAGGAGGAGGTAGAGGAGGAGGTAGAGGAGATAGAGGAGGTAGAGGTGCAGGAGGTACAGGAGGAGGTAGAGGAGGAGGTAGAGGAGATAGAGGAGGTAGAGGTGCAGGAGGTAGAGGAGGAGGTAGAGGAGATAGAGGAGGTAGAGGTGCAGGAGGTACAGGAGGAGGTAGAGGAGGAGGTAGAGGAGATAGAGGAGGTAGAGGTGCAGGAGGTACAGGAGGAGGTAGAGGAGGTAGAGGAGGAGATAGAGGTGCAGGAGGTACAGGAGGAGGTAGAGGAGGAGGTAGAGGAGATAGAGGAGGTAGAGGTGCAGGAGGTACAGGAGGAGGTAGAGGAGGAGGTACAGGAGGAGGTAGAGGAGATAGAGGTGCAGGAGGTACAGGAGGAGGTAGAGGAGAGAGGAGGTAGAGGAGATAGAGGAGGTAGAGGTGCAGGAGGTACAGGAGGAGGTAGAGGAGGAGGTAGAGGAGATAGAGGAGGTAGAGGTGCAGGAGGTACAGGAGGAGGTAGAGGAGGAGGTAGAGGAGATAGAGGAGGTAGAGGTGCAGGAGGTACAGGAGGAGGTAGAGGAGATAGAGGTGCAGGAGGTACAGGAGGAGGTAGAGGAGGAGGTAGAGGAGATAGAGGAGGTAGAGGTGCAGGAGGTACAGGAGGAGGTAGAGGAGATAGGAGGAGGTAGAGGTGCAGGAGGTACAGGAGGAGATAGAGGTGCAGGAGGTACAGGAGGAGGTAGAGGAGATAGAGGTGCAGGAGGTACAGGAGGAGGTAGAGGAGGAGGTAGAGGAGATAGAGGAGGTAGAGTTGCAGGAGGTACAGGAGGAGGTAGAGGAGGAGGTAGAGGAGATAGAGGAGGTAGAGGTGCAGGAGGTACAGGAGGAGGTAGAGGAGGAGGTAGAGGAGATAGAGGAGGTAGAGGTGCAGGAGGTAAAGGAGGAGGTAGAGGAGGAGGTAGAGGAGATAGAGGAGGTAGAGGTGCAGGAGGTACAGGAGGAGGTAGAGGAGATAGAGGTGCAGGAGGTACAGGAGGAGGTAGAGGAGGAGGTAGAGGAGATAGAGGAGGTAGAGGTGCAGGAGGTACAGGAGGAGGTAGAGGAGGAGGTAGAGGAGATAGAGGAGGTAGAGGTGCAGGAGGTACAGGAGGAGATAGAGGAGGTAGAGGTGCAGGAGGTACAGGAGGAGGCAGAGGAGGAGGTGCAGTCGTACCTGGCGGCCCTGCGGCTGTAGTTCTGACAGGTGTCCCAGGCGTCCAGCCTCCTCAGAGCGTGCTCGGCCTGCTGGCGGACGCTGGCTCCGCCCAGAACGGCGTGCAGCGCCCGGCTGTAGATGGACACGTACTCGGGAACCTTGGGGTGAGGGTGGGAGAGCTTCACGAACTCCACTGCTGCTGAAACCTGAGGATTCGGGTCAAAGCTACAATTACTGCAGAGCCTGTGGAACATATCGGCACAATGAGCTCGGCAGTAAGGGAAGGACGCTCACAGCTCGCTCCTCATTGGACGAGGCGGACAGCAGGACGAAGGGGAGGATCATGGGAAGGCAGCCGATGGCGTCCAGCTGGCTGTCTGCGGACGAGGAGCTCAACTTCTGCCCCGAGCGTTTCTCTGCAAACGCCAGAACCTGAAAAACACAGCGAGTGAAGACGGTGACATCCGAACCGCAGCCGGGAGGCGACGGTTCCACCTGGGCGCGTTCGTTTTACCTGCCGCGGCGAGGTCGGCCTGCCGTCCTGCCAGTCGGCGAAGAAGGAGCGGTGGAAGGACTCGGCGTAGGTGTCGTCGTGCGTGCCGGGCGTGGTCAGGAAGCGGACGTAGTCTGACAGCACGGCGGCTCGAGCGTCCGGCTGAGAGACGTCGGGGAAACGACCGGAGACGAGCGACCGGGCGGCTCGGAGGGAACAGAGGACGTTCAGGGTGTTTCCACCGGACCGAAGACCTGGACACGGAGCCACGGTACAGGTTAGCATGCTAACGTTAGCGTTGTAGCTTAGCAACAATGATCACCCGTCTGCACCTTGATGGTAGTGCACCGAACCCTCGGACGACTTCCACAGGCTCAGTTTGTCGTGGAGGATCACGTTCCCGACCACTTCGGGACGCTTGGCGCCGGACGACCAGGCGGTCCGACCGCTGCCGGCTGCAACAAACAAACAAACAGGAAGCTGTTACAAACAAACAAACAAACAAACAGGAAGCTGTAACAAACAAACAAACAAACAGGAAGCTGTTACAAACAAACAAACAAACAAACAGGAAGCTGTAACAAACAAACAAACAAACAAACAGGAAGCTGTAACAAACAAACAAACAAACAGGAAGCTGTTACAAACAAACAAACAAACAAACAGGAAGCTGTTACAAACAAACAAACAAACAAACAAACAGGGAGCTGCAACAAACAAACAAACAAACAAACAAACAGGAAGCTGTAACAAACAAACAAACAAACAGGAAGCTGTTACAAACAAACAAACAAACAAACAGGGAGCTGCAACAAACAAACAAACAAACAAACAGGAAGCTGTTACAAACAAACAAACAAACAAACAGGGGGCTGCAACAAACAAACACAAACAAACAAAGGGAGCTGCAACAAACAAACAAACAAACAAACAAACAAGAAGCTGTAACAAACAAACAAACAGGAAGCTGTAACAAACAAACAAACAGGAAGCTATAACAAACAGGAAGCTGTAACAAACAAACAAACAAACAGGAAGCTGTAACAAACAAACAAACAAACAGGAAGCTGTTACAAACAAACAAACAAACAAACAGGGAGCTGCAACAAACAAACAAACAAACAAACAGGAAGCTGTAACAAACAAACAAACAAACAAACAGGAAGCTGTTACAAACAAACAAACAAACAAACAGGGAGCTGCAACAAACAAACAAACAAACAAACAAACAGGAAGCTGTAACAAACAAACAAACAAACAGGAAGCTGTTACAAACAAACAAACAAACAAACAGGGAGCTGCAACAAACAAACAAACAAACAAACAGGAAGCTGTTACAAACAAACAAACAAACAAACAAACAGGGAGCTGCAACAAACAAACAAACAAACAAACAGGGAGCTGCAACAAACAAACAAACAAACAAACAAACAAGAAGCTGTAACAAACAAACAAACAGGAAGCTGTAACAAACAAACAAACAAACAGGAAGCTATAACAAACAGGAAGCTGTAACAAACAAACAAACAAACAAACAGGAAGCTGTTACAAACAAACAAACAGGAAGCTGTTACAAACAAACAAACAAACAGGGAGCTGCAACAAACAAACAAACAAACAGGAAGCTGTAACAAACAAACAAACAAACAGGAAGCTGTTACAAACAAACAAACAAACAGGGAGCTGCAACAAACAAACAAACAAACAAACAAGAAGCTGTAACAAACAAACAAACAAACAGGAAGCTATAACAAACAGGAAGCTGTAACAAACAAACAAACAAACAGGAAGCTGTTACAAACAAACAAACAAACAAACAGGGAGCTGCAACAAACAAACAAACAAACAAACAAGAAGCTGTAACAAACAAACAAACAAACAGGAAGCTATAACAAACAGGAAGCTGTAACAAACAAACAAACAAACAATCAGGAAGCTGTAACAAACAAACAAACAAACAGAGGGGTATTGCACAAAACCAGGATAAGGGATTAACCCGGGATATGTTGGTTATCCTGGATGAATTTAGCCTCAAGTCGGTTGCATGAAAGCAGGTTAAACTTATCCCGGCCAAGTTACTATGGTGATTTATTCTCTGCAGTTAGCCTGCTCCAGACCAGGCTAACAGCCGGGCTAACATTAATCCTAGTGATTCACCTGTATTTCCACCGTCAATCCTGTGAGGAATTAATGTGTTTTACAGCATGTCCATGGTCTTTCTATGTATGTTGCATCATTTTAATTATCCTGCATTAAAATATTACATATATATTGTCATTTCTCATTTCATTTAAATCTGTTGGCTGTTTGTAATTGCAACAGTCTTTTTATATTGATTCAAGTGGTAGTATTATTACTCAGGCCAAGTGTTATATTGCTATGCTAATGAAGACTGCTTGTCAAACTGCATAAATATGTGTTTATTGCAGTAATTGAGATTACAAAACACAGCTGATGAAGTTGCAAAGGTGTTTTCAATGAAATCTGTGACAAGGGCAATATAGTATATATATTATGGCATACCGTTTAAGAGATTAATCTTTGAATATATTTAATGAATCTTTGAATATATTGAATGAAACTTGACCTGTCATCAAGGCACTGCTGCCATCTTGTAGAAGTGAGAATGAGTCAGTCAGGAACCTTGTGGCAGCAATACTGATCAATGAGGACATTATTAACTCATTGGTAAGTGCTTGTAGGGGCCACAATCCTTCCCATAGTACCCGTGCCCAATACCGTTCTCCTGACGAAGAAGTTCACTCCCTTTTTAATGGTGGCAGGCCGACTACAACAGGCCTCAGGCTAAATCCTGACAGAAAAAGCAAAAAAGTTTTCCAGTTTAAGAAAGTATTGTAATATTTCAACTGATGCCATTTTGTAAAACCAGCTAATTCAGAAGGCTATCACTTTGATGAAAAGGATACAACTAGGTTTTGAATTTCATTCAGTATTCTCACATTTTGGTATTTCAAGTCATTTATATTCAAAGATTCATTCCATATATCCAAGATTCATTCCATATATTCAAAGCTTCATTTCCTAAACAGCATGCCATAATATATATATATATATATATATATATATTATTCACACCTGTTCCCTCTTCATAATGGCTTGCCCTTTTTTGGAGGATGTACTGGATGAGGGAGCCCTAATCCTCAGACGAGCATTTAGTCATGAAAGAGTCTTCTGGGACAGGTCAGACCCATTGGCCGTTGGAGAGGACTATCTCATTGAGAGATACAGATTCTCAGGTGATGGACTAAGATATTTATGTAGGCTGCTGGGTCCAAAAATACAGCACCAGACAGCAGGAAGCCATGCTCTCACTGTACCACAGATGGTCTGTGTTACAGTGAGATGTTTTGCAAGTGGGAGCTTCCTTTATTCTGTTGGGGATGCAGAGAACCTCAATAAAGGAACCATTGGCAGCACATATCCTGGCTTGGTGGGCCGCCCCCTGTGCCAGTTCTATGGGCTTTTTTTTAACTGCTACAATCATACAGACATTCAACATGTCAGCAGACACCTAATCTATTCACCTCATTTGTTCACTGTTATCTACTTTATAGTCACTGACCAGCCTGCAAAATGTTCTTGTATTTAACTTTAACTTGCTGCTAGGTCCTTTTATGGCCAGACAAGTTTGTTCTTTATGAAGGATAGAAAGATAAAATAGATAAAAATAGATTAAATGACACATTGTGGATAATTGTTTGCACTTAATCATACTCTACATTTAAGTAACATGAACCTCTACTTGCCACATTTAAAGCAAAGTGTACAACAGTTGATTAGTGGACTTAAAGTAACTCCTTTAGTCCTTTAATTGGAGCCTAATGATGACAGTTCCAGTGGAGCACTGTTTATTAATTGTACAGTTTTGGACTACTGAAGCATTAAGCCGGTCCGCTATTGTCTGCCAGGCTTTCTCTCTTTCTTTAATTATGGCATTGGTATTGCCTTTGTTTCTTATATCTTCCACCTCTTCATAGAACTCCATCAGGAGCTGTTGTTCAGCGACTCTTATCCATGTTCCCATCGGTGATTCTGTGAGCGATCGCGAGGTCTATTTCAGTATGCCGTGAACACGCACTTATCCCGACTATCTACACCTGGCTTAACATAGCCGCACCTTTTCATCCTGGCTCGGCAAACGTGCAACCGATTAAACCAGGATGCACCGAGCAGGCTAAGTCAAACCGCGCTTGACTTAGCCTGGATTTCTTTATCCTACTTTTGTGCAATACCCCACTGGAAGCCGTCCGGGGGGCTCACTGGTGTTGGAGAGGCTGAGGATGCTGGACGGGTGTCTGGTTCTGGGCGGGTTGAAGTCCGATATCCAGCCACCGAAGTCCCTCCGGATGTCGTCGATGTCGTAGTACCAGTGGACCGGCATGGACACGGAGTCGGCCGCACACATCGCCCACAATGCCTCACTGACTGCCCGCCGCACCTGAGCCATCTCACCTGAGGAACGAATCTTTATTCTGCTTTTATTCATTGTCCATCCAAACATGTGTTTTCTGTTTCTGCTGGGATGTTTACACTGCTGCACACACTTCCTGTTGGTTTGTTTTCCTTTTTCAGACTTTATTCGCTCATAAAACGAAGAGAAAGATTGTTTTTACACAATCAACAACATCTTTAAAGATATATAAGCTTACCTTTCCAAAATTAAAGTTGTTTACATTGTGCTACACAGGAGGAAACATTCAGAGTAAACAAAGTTCCAGAGTAAATAAATGTGTTTACCTGCTGAAGGCGACGTCATAAACATAAATAAACATAAATAAACATAAATAAACATAAATAAATATAAATAAATATATTCAGTCTGTCAGAACTTTAATTTAAATGTACCTGAGTCACCTTTCAGGGAGCCTGTCTGTCCGCAGAGCCTGTCTGTCGGTAATGAGTCATTACACTGTTACTAAACTACCGGAAGTGGCTAACGTTAGCACCGTCATGCTAACACAAACAGCTCGTTCCTCCGGTGCGTCCCTCAAATGTTTCCGTACACACGGAGGAACGTGAAGTAAATATTTGCCTGCTTGTTAAAGCGTTGTTGTTGTTGTTGTTGTTGTTGTTGTTGTTGTTATATAGAGCAGATATGTAAGGAGGCATTCCGTAACCCGTTGAGTACGGTGGTCGCTGTGGGTCAATTATAAAACCCGAAACTTTATTAACAGTTCGGTTGCTGTACAAACAGACAGTCGCGGCCGCCATATTGGTGAGGTCAATGCAGACTGTAACCGACGTATAGGTTTTAGTCTGTTTATTTATATTATATATATACATTATTTATATAAAGATATTGATATAAAGATATAAATATCTTTATATGTGTGTGGGTTGTTAGTCTATTTATAATCTTTATTCAATCTTTATGATGCAGCCAGTGAGAGCAGACAGAGTCATGAATCCAGGAATAGAGCCAGAGGAGATTCAGATAGAAACATTAAAATAGAGATTAATGATGGTTGTAGCAGCTTTATTGTTTTTTGAATCATAGATTCAGGTTTTGATGTATTGTTCCGTTTCCTTACCAAAAGCAATAAAAGAAGGTTTAGAGTTACTAAATTTGGCTTTGTGAATATGATATTTCCCTAAAATGATCAACAAATTAATTAGGTATATTTCTTTCTGTTTTTCACTTTTGTTGTCATGGAAACCAAACAGTACATCTTTCCACAACAAAGAGAAATCAGAGACCAGTTTATCAGAAATGTATCAGGACAGATCTTTCCAGAACGTGGTGGTGTAGGGTCAGAACAGGTGCACCGTTGTTTGTGGACATATTCCACATAAAGAACAGTTAACACATTAGCTTAACCCTAAGGAATAAATAGACTTCTCTTACTTTATTCGTAAGGAAGGTTCCAGATATTTCCCCAATTCAGGTTGTCAACAAAGTTAGACCAATAGGGAACAGCATTAGAGATACTGGTGACATCTCTCTGGAATAAAGATTATTATTCCTCGTTGTGGTAGCGAAACATATTTTACCAACTGAGGTCAGCTTAGGGTCTGAAGCTGTATACAGTCTGGTGTCCAGTCCCTTTTAAGAGAGTTAAGATACCAGATGGGATGGCATCCATAACAATTGCAAACTCTTTTGGGGTGATTGGAATAATTCAGCAATGTTCCATTATCATTTAGTAGTTGGGATACTAGAATGATGTTATTATTGAACCAAGTTTTATAAAATAAAGATTTATTCTTGAACTTAATAAGCCGATTATTCCAGATGAAGCAGCTGTGTGGGGAGAAGTTAAGTTTGTAGATTAACGACCACGCTAAGAGCATTTGTTTGTAGAATTTAGATAAAATTAAGGGAATTTTTTCTATTTCATAATCACACAAAAGTAAATATTCTAGACCTCCAACCTGAGAGAAAATATAGTTAGGTATAAAATTGCTTGTAGATGTGGGATTTTTTAGAAAATGCTTTATCCAATTTATCAAGAAAGTTTAGACCACCGCGTTCAGTGTTCATGATAACAGATTTTTTCACATAATGCGTCTTGTTTTTCCAGATAAAATTGAAAAGTAATTTATTAATGGAATTACAGAGCTTTTTGTTGACAAACAAGGGGATAGCTGCATATGTAAGACGTGATAAACCTTCTGCCTTTGTCAACAATACTCGTCCTTTCAAGGATAAATCTCTCTGCAGCCATTGATTAAGTTTTTTCTTTGTCTTATCACTAATCAAATTATAGTTTACAGAGCATCTCTCCTCCTCATCTTTCATTATAGTAATCCCTAGATAAGTAATCTTATCTTTGATTGGTATGTTACAAACCTGGGAGGTGTCGCTTTCTTTAAGGGAGAAGAAGAGTCCAGAAGCTGCAGAAAACAATTCTATTGTTTTGATAGCAACTGGCACTTGGCTGGCATTTTAAAAAAATAATGTAGTATCATCTGCTAGTTGGGTGAGGATAACTTCTCTTTCTGTAATTGAAATTCCTTTTAAAGCACTATTTTTAATATGGGTGGAAAGAAGTTGTGTACATAAAATGAATAGGTAGGGAGAGGCAGGGCAGCCCTGCCGGATGCCTCTTTGCAGCTCAAATCTCGGCGATGTCCCATTTTTTAATCTGATAACGTTAGAGCTGTTGCCTTTGGAGAACATTGTTCTAACAGCTTTACAGAAAAAATCACCAAAACCAAATTTCTCAATAGTTTGAAATATAAAGTTATGTTCTACTGTGTCAAAGGCTTTATAGAAGTCCAAGAAAAAGATAAAACTATCATCAGGACATAAAAATGAATAATCAGTTATATCTAAGACAAGCCGAATATTGTTTGAGATATGTCTTTGTCTCATGAATCCTGATTGGACTTCATCAATAATAATAATATTAATAATATCAATAATAATAATATTAACAATAATATCCATAATAATAATATTAATAATAATATCAATAATAATAATAATATCAATAATAATATCAATAATAATAATATTAATAATAGTAATAATAATATCAATAATAATAATAATAATATTTATAATAATAATAATAATATCAATAATAATATTAATAATGATAATAATATTAATAATAATAATATCAATAATAAAAATATCAATAATAATATGAAAAATGATAATAATATTAATATTAATAATAATAACAATAACAATAACAATAATAATAATAATAATATCAATAATAATAATAATAATAATATTCATAATAATAATATTGATAATAATATCAATAATAATAATAATATCAATAATAATAATAATATTCATAATAATAATATTGATAATAATATCAATAATAATAATAATAATATATAATAATAATATTGATAATAATATCAATAATAATAATAATAATAATAATAATATTAATAATAGGGTCTGTTTGCAAGTATTGAGGTAAAAATGTTGTAGTCAGTGTTTAGTAATGAATTTGGGGATTAATGTTAAACTTTCGGTGGGTTGTTGTTGTTGTTGTCGTCCTGAGTCAAACTCCGGTGGGGTATTGCACAAAAGTAGGATAAAGAAATCCAGGCTAAGTCAAGCGCGGTTTGACTTAGCCTGCTCGGTGCATCCTGGTTTAATCGGTTGCACGTTTGCTGAGCCAGGATGAAAAGGTGCGGCTATGTTAAGCCAGGTGTAGATAGTCGGGATAAGTGCGTGTTCACGGCATACTGAAATAGACCTCGCGGTCGCTCACAGAATCACCGATAGGAACATGGATAAGGCCGCTGAACAACAGCTCCTGATGGAGTTCTATGAAGAGGTGGAAGATATCATAAGAAACAAAGGCAATACCAATGCCATAATGAAAGAAAGAGAGAAAGCCTGGCAGACAATAGCGGACCGGCTTAATGCTTAAGTAGTCCAAAACTGTACAATGAATAAACAGTGCTCCACTGGAACTGTCATCATTAGGCTCCAATTAAAGGACTAAAGGAGTTACTTTAAGTCCACTAATCAACTGTTGTACACTTTGCTTTAAATGTGGCAAGTAGAGGTTCATGTTACTTAAATGTAAAGTATGATTAAGTGCAAACAATTATCCACAATGTGTGTCATTTAATCTATTTTTATCTATTTTATCTTTCTATCCTTCATAAAGAACAAACTTGTCTGGCCATAAAAGGACCTGGCAGCAAGTTAAAGTTAAATACAAGAACATTTTGCAGGCTGGTCAGTGACTATAAAGTAGATAACAGTGAATAAATGAGGTGAATAGATTAGGTGTCTGCTGACATGTTGAATGTCTGTATGATTGTAGCAGTTAAAAAAGCCCATAGAACTGGCACGGGGGCGGCCCACCAAGCCAGGATATGTACGGACAATGGTTCCTTTATTGAGGTTCTCTGCATCCCCAACAGAATAAAGGAAGCTCCCACTTGCAAAACATCTCACTGTAACACAGACCATCTGTGGTACAGTGAGAGCATGGCTTCCTGCCGTCTGGTGCTGTATTTTTGGACCCAGCAGCCTACATAAATATCTTAGTCCATCACCTGAGAATCTGTATCTCTCAATGAGATAGTCATCTCCAACAGCCAATGGGTCTGACCTGTCCCAGAAGACTCTTTCATGACTAAATGCTCGTCTGAGGATTAGGGCTTCCTCATCCAGTACATCCTCCAAGAAAGGGCAAGCCATTATGAAAAGGGAACAGGTGTGAATTATATATATATATATATATATATGGCATGCTATTTAGGATATATAGTGTGTATGAATGTATAATATGAATCTTTGAATGTCATGTGAATCTTGATTTAGGAAATTAATCTTTGAATATATAAAATGAATCTTTGAATATATGGAATGAATCTTTGAATATACTGATAAAAATGTAAATAATACTAAATGAAATTCAAAACCTAGTTGTATCCTTTTCATCAAAGTGATAGCCTTCTGAATTAGCTGGTTTTACAAAATGGCATCAGTTGAAATATTACAATACTTTCTTAAACTGGAAAACTTTTTTGCTTTTTCTGTCAGGATTTAGCCTGAGGCCTGTTGTAGTCGGCCTGCCACCATTAAAAGGGAGGAGAACTTCTTCGTCAGGAGAACGGTATTGGGCACGGGTACTATGGGAAGGATTTTGGCCCCTACAAGCACTTACCAATGAGTTAATAATGTCCTCATTGATCAGTATTTCTGCCACAAGGTTCCTGACTGACTCATTCTCACTTCTACAAGATGGCAGCAGTGCCTTGATGACAGGTCAAGTTTCATTAAATATATTTAAAGATTAATTTTATATATTCAAAGATTTTATATATTCAAGTTAATTCTAAATTCAAAGATTAATCTCTTAAACGGTATGCCATAATATATATACTATATTGCCCTTGTCACAGATTTCATTGAAAACAGCTTTGCAACTTCATCAGCTGTGTTTTGTAATCTCAATTACTGCAATAAACACATATTTATGCAGTTTGACAAGCAGTCTTCATTAGCATAGCAATATAACACTTGTCCTGAGTAATAATACTACCACTTGAATCAATATAAAAAGACTGTTGCAATTACAAACAGCCAACAGATTGAAATGAAATGAGAAATGACAATATATATGTAACATTTTAATGCAGGATAATTAAAATGATGCAACATACATAAAGACCATGGACATGCTGTAAAACACATTAATTCCTCACAGGATTGACGGTGGAAATACAGGTGAATCACTAGGATTAATGTTAGCCTGGCTGTTAGCCTGGTCTGGAGCAGGCTAACTGCAGAGAATAAATCACCATAGTAACCTGGCCGGGATAAGTTTAACCTGCTTTCATGCAACCGACTTGAGGCTAAATTCATCCAGGATAACCAACATATCCCGGGTTAATCCCTTATCCTGGTTTTGTGCAGTACCCCTCTGGAGCAGACGGTGGCGGGAATGCAACCGGAAGCTGTCAGCCAACCGCGGTAAAACAAGAAGAAGAAGAATCTCGCGAGGTTGTCGTTGCTCACGTGTTCTTGACGTCAGCGCACCAAACTAACCGGCATGCATTGCTTTGGCCCGGCTCAGCTCGGCTCGGCTCGGCTCAGCTCGGCCCGGCTCGGCCCGGCTCGGTGTCCGGACGTTGATATGACCGTTATATATGTTTATCTATATGTTTATATGTTTATCGATCTGTGAAACAAACGGTTGAATCGATCCGGTTCAGGTGCGTCACTGCGGAACACTTCCGGTTGTTAGCATCGCTCGCGCCTCCTGAAGCTAACAGCTAGCAGCTAACAGCTAACTGTTAGCAGAATGAATAAAGACTTTAATGTTTCCATTCTGACACATTAACTGTGTTTCTCCTTTAAGGAGAGTTAGTTGTTGTTGTTGTTGTTGTTGTTGTTGTTGTTGTAAATATTCCCGCCTTTTCCTCGCTGTTAGTTACATTGTTTCTTTGTTGTTTTTAGCAACGCGGCTAAGCTAAGCTAGCTGAGTGTTAGCTAGCAGCCTGAGATGGAAATGGAAGAAGATTTATTAGATCCACAAGAAGTTGGTAAGATTTATATATAACTTTATTTATTAAACTATAACCTAATATATTAAACTATAACCTAATATATTAAACTATAACCTAATATATTAAACTATAACCTAATATATTAAACTATAACTTTATATATTAAACTATAACCTAATATATTAAACTATAACCTAATATATTAAACTATAACTTTATATATTAAACTATAACTTTATATATTAAACTATAACCTAATATATTAAACTATAACCAATTATTAAACTTATTTATTAAACTATAACCTAATATATTAAACTATAACCTAATATATTAAACTATAACTTTATTTATTAAACTATAACCTAATATATTAAACTATAACCTAATATATTAAACTATAACTTTATATATTAAACTATAACTTTATTTATTAAACTATAACCTAATATATTAAACTATAACCTAATATATTAAACTATAACCTAATATATTAAACTATAACTTTATATATTAAAAAAAAACAATATATTAAAAAATAAAAAAATATTAAATAATTTATTTTTTTATTGATCAGGATACACTGTATCTTTATTGATGGTATTGATCAGTATACACTGTATCTTTATTGATTATTGATCAGTATACACTGTATCTTTATTGATGATATTGATCAGTATACACTGTATCTTTATAGATTATTGATCAGTATACACTGTATCTTTATTGATGGTAGGCTCTATATTGCAGTAAATACGTTGAGCTCTTCATTAATTGACAGTGTCCAGTTCAGCTCAGGCTGCAGTACTCTGTACAACCAGCAGGGGATCCACTGAGTCTACACTTTACAGATAAGATCATTTCCATGTCAGAGGTCTATAAATAACTACCGAGCCGTGGGTTTCTGTGTGAGGCCTCACACACAGAATAATGGTTGTACAAGTCCAAAAGGAGGTTTTAACCAGATTCTGAGATGTGACAAACCCAGTACAGTGTTTTTAATGGAGACCTGGTGTAATGTGGTCTGATGTAGGACAATCAGTGGAGTAGCCTTTTATTTTGTTCTCACATATAACTTAAAGATTTGACTCCTGTAATGTCAAACTGCTGTGTTCTTCAGACGTAGCCAGAACCTTCTGGGCCGAGGAGGACGTGGACCAGGCTTTTGATGGCGTTTTTGAGTATCTGGGTCACCTGAAGAGAGTCCTGAAGAAGAACACGGCCACAGATAAAGGTTGGCCTTCTCTAATTGATCTCCTCTCTGATTGGAGTGAACAGGATGCGCTCTGCTTCCTGTTGTGCTGATCATGACTTCCTGTCTGCGTGCTGATCAGAATATGTTCAGGGGCTGAAGCTGCTGCAGGTTCTGGACTGTTCTCCTCCGGCCTCCGCTCAGGACTCCTCTGTGGTTCAGGTGGTCATCGGCTCAGGTAGGCACAGACTTTTATTCTGAAACGTCCCTGCTGTCATAGCAACCGCAGCAGTATAAAGCAGTCCTTTACTTTGAAAAGATTTGTTTATAGAGTTTGTATTCTGGACGCTTTAAAGAGAACGTTAAAATAAATACGGAGCAGTTAGTGACGAGTATTAAATCCATTTAATTTATTATTATTTTAACTTGTCTCATATTTGTGAAATCAGACGGTTGAACGAAGGCGATGGAAGGTCTGTAACGAGATATAATCATATATATTTATATTTATATTTATATTTACTGATTGATTAATGGAATAATGGTTTCAGATGTACTTTGTAAGCTGTTGGGGAATTTAATTTGTAACAAAATATATTACATGTTTTTCTGTAAAATCAGACACATGTAGTGAAGTACAGACACAGTACAGACACATGTAGTAAGGTACAGACACAGTACAGACACATGTAGTGAGGTACAGACACAGTACAGACACATGTAGTGAAGTACAGACACAGTACAGACACATGTAGTAAGGTACAGACACAGTACAGACACATGTAGTGAAGTACAGACACAGTACAGACACAGTACAGACACATGTAGTGAAGTACAGACACAGTACAGACACAGTACAGACACATGTAGTGAGGTACAGACACATGTAGTGAAGTACAGACACAGTACAGACACATGTAGTAAGGTACAGACACAGTACAGACACATGTAGTGAGGTACAGACACAGTACAGACACAGTACAGACACATGTAGTGAAGTACAGACACAGTACAGACACATGTAGTAAGGTACAGACACAGTACAGACACATGTAGTGAGGTACAGACACAGTACACAGTACAGACACATGTAGTGAGGTACAGACACAGTACAGACACATGTTGTGAGGTACAGACACAGTACAGACACATGTAGTGAAGTACAGACACAGTACAGACACATGTAGTGAGGTACAGACACAGTACAGACACATGTAGTGAAGTACAGACACAGTACAGACACATGTAGTGAAGTACAGACACAGTACAGACACAGTACAGACACATGTAGTGAAGTACAGACACAGTACAGACACATGTAGTGAAGTACAGACACAGTACAGACACAGTACAGACACATGTAGTGAAGTACAGACACAGTACAGACACAGTACAGACACATGTAGTGAAGTACAGACACAGTACAGACACAGTACAGACACATGTAGTGAAGTACAGACACAGTACAGACACATGTAGTGAAGTACAGACACAGTACAGACACAGTACAGACACAGTACAGACACAGTACAGACACATGTAGTGAAGTACAGACACAGTACAGACACAGTACAGACACATGTAGTGAAGTACAGACACAGTACAGACACAGTACAGACACATGTAGTGAAGTACAGACACAGTACAGACACAGTACAGACACATGTAGTGAAGTACAGACACAGTACAGACACATGTAGTGAAGTACAGACACAGTGCAGTATTGGATTACTTTGTTCCTACTGTGTGTAATTAAAGAATCTGAACCCTCATCAGTGTGCATTAAGTCTTATTTTGAAAGTGTCTTCCTGCCCAGGCGAGCTGCTTCCTGCAGACTTCTCCCACCACAGCCCCCCTTCCTCCCCCTCTCCCTCCCCCTCTCCCTCCCCCCCTCCCTCCAACGGGCTGTCCAGCTCAGCAGCTCCCCCTGCAGGCAGAGAGGAGCTGCTGCCTCCTCTGACCCCCGTCCAGCTACAGTACCAACCCCACCCCTGCTGCAAGGTAACACACTGTACACACACTGTACACACACTGTACACACACAGTAACACACACTGTACACACACTGTACACACACTGTACACACACAGTAACACACACTGTACACACACTGTACACACACAGTAACACACACAGTAACACACACTGTACACACACAGTAACACACACTGTACACACACTGTACACACACACTGTACACACACAGTAACACACACTGTACACACACTGTACACACACTGTACACACAGTAACACACACAGTAACACACACAGTAACACACACTGTAACACACACAGTAACACACACTGTACACACAGTAACACACACAGTAACACACACAGTAACACACACTACACTGTACACACTGTACACACACTGTAACACACACAGTAACACACACTGTACACACACTGTACACACACTGTACACACACAGTACACACACAGTAACACACACTGTACACACACAGTAACACACACTGTAACACACACTGTACACACTGTACACACACAGTACACACACAGTAACACACACTGTACACACACAGTAACACACACTGTAACACACACTGTAACACACACTGTACACACTGTAACACACACAGTAACACACACAGTAACACACATTACACACACAGTAACACACACTGTAACACACACTGTACACACTGTACACACACTGTAACACACACTGTACACACACTGTACACACACAGTACACACACAGTAACACACACTGTACACACACAGTAACACACACTGTAACACACACTGTACACACTGTACACACACTGTACACACTGTAACACACACAGTAACACACACAGTAACACACACTGTACACACACAGTAACACACAGTAACACACACTGTAACACACTGTAACACACACTGTACACACACTGTAACACACACACTGTACACACACTGTACACACACTGTACACACACTGTACACACACTGTACACACACAGTAACACACACTGTACACACACAGTAACACACACTGTAACACACACTGTCACACACTGTACACACACTGTACACACACTGTAACACACACAGTAACACACACTGTACACACACACTGTACACACACTGTACACACACACACACATGTAACACACACAGTAACACACACTGTACACACACAGTAACACACAGTAACACACACTGTAACACACACTACACACACACTGTACACACACTGTACACACACAGTACACACACTACACACACACTGTACACACACAGTAACACACACTGTACACACACAGTAACACACACTGTACACACACTGTACACACACACTGTACACACACTGTACACACACTGTAACACACACAGTAACACACACTGTACACACACACTGTACACACACTGTACACACACAGTAACACACACTGTACACACACTGTACACACACTGTACACACACTGTAACACACACTGTACACACACTGTACACACACAGTAACACACACTGTACACACACTGTACACACACTGTACACACACAGTAACACACACTGTAACACACACTGTAACACACACTGTACACACACAGTAACACACACTGTACACACACAGTAACACACACAGTAACACACACTGTACACACACTGTAACACACACAGTAACACACACTGTACACACACAGTAACACACACAGTAACACACACTGTACACACACTGTACACACACTGTACACACACAGTAACACACACTGTAACACACACAGTAACACACACTACACACACACTGTCGTTTCGTCCTTCCAGGCCTGCCTCTCCAGTTTACCCAGCATGCCTCAGTCCACGCCTCCATTCTGGGGTCAGAACCCTCTGAAGGTGCCGCTGCTCTGCGGCTTTAAGAGGCTGACCGCTGTGATGTCATCGAGAGGGGGCGGGGCCTCTGATGACGAGGGGCCGGAGCTGGCGGACTGTGATGTCGTGGAGGACGTCGTTTACAAGGCGCCGTGTGGACTCAGCCTCCGTAACCATGACGACGTGATGCGTTTCCTGTTGGCTACAGGAAGCTACGATGTCCTGCAGGTCAGCTGGTGTATTGTGATGCGTTCAGGGCTGGAAGAAATAGTCAGATAAAAGAAATGCTGCAGCTGAGAGTGTCAAAATAAAAGCACTGCAGAGAAATAGCTTTTAATTACGACATTAAAGGTTTATTATATTATTATTGTGTAACTGCCTGCAGTGAGGTCATTATATTTCCTGTGAGATATTTAAGTGTTGAATATTGTAATTTGTTGCGTTCAGGGTCCGTCTGTAAACTGCAGCTTCAGCTTTACTTAAAGATCCCCTTCATATTTCCAAACACATAAAAACATTTTTCAGATGCTTTGATTTGTGTCTGATTAGTCTGGTTCTGGTTCTGGTTCTGGTTCTGGCCTCCTGCAGGTGGACTTCTTCACCTTTAACCCGTCTGTCCGGTTGGACCCGCCCCTGCTGCTGGGCCCCCGGCTGCCGGAGCTGGACCTGAGCCGCGGCGTCGAGCCCACACCGGTGGAGCTGTGCGTCGGGGACGACGGCGCCCGGCCGGCCGACTTCCGCTACCGGAAGGACCGCTGGCCGCACGGCTGCTTCCTGAGCCGCGGGCCGACGCTGTTCAACGCCTGCTGCGACTGCACGGACGGCTGCAGCGACGCAGAACGCTGCGCCTGCGTCGCCATGACCACCGGGGGGCGCCGTTACAGCCACCACAGGCTGGAAGAGCCCGTTCCGTCAGGGTGAGTCCGTGACGTCACACGTTGGGAGTGATGGTAACCTTTGACCTCGCGGTGACGTCAGCGTGTGTTTTCAGCGTGTACGAGTGCGGTCCGTGGTGTGGTTGTGACCGAGCTCGCTGTCAGAACCGGCTGGTCCAGAGAGGGATCAGGGTCCGCCTCCAGGTCTTCCCCACTGACGGCCGCGGCTGGGGTGTGCGTTGCCGTGACGACCTGGACCGCGGCACGTTCGTGTGCATCTACGCAGGTGAGCCGGCGCCGATGTGCGAGTCCGCGGGTCGCTGAGCTAACGGGTGGCGGAGCTAATGAAATAAAATGTCCGCAGGCGTGATCCTGCAGAGGGTCTGGACTCCAACAGAACCTCCTCCCCCGAAGCTGACGAAGGCGGACCTCCCCTCGGACGACGAGGTGGAGGTCGTCACCGAGTGGCTGGCTCCGCCGGTGCTGGAGGGGCGGAGCAACCTGCTGGAACCCACCTCGCCCCCGCTGCACGTCCCCGTGATCCAGAGACCGGCTGACAGCAACGCCGCAACCAGCACGCCTCAGGACCGAGACCGGGTCAGAGACCGGGTCAGAGACCGGCTGCTAACTGGTGCTAATGTTAGCATGCTAGCAGCTAGCAGTGACCGTCCGTTGTTTGTCCTTCAGACGGTGCTGGTCGGAGGTCCAGATCCTCCGTCTCCTCCGGCAGCCGGCTCACCTACTCCAGCGCAGGAGAGGACGGTTGCCCCGACAACAGCCAGTCCAAAGGCGGCGGCCTGCGGCGTGAACGGCGCCGAGACGAAGAGTCAGAGGAGTTTAAAGAGGGCGATGAAGGACGTTAACTTCCTGGACGCCAGCAAGGAGGGAAACGTGAGCCGCTTCATCAACGTAAGGACGGTTAATACTTTATTATTCTGAACGTTCTCATATTAACATTCAACCGTTGACCTTTGACCCCTCTCCCTGCGCCCTACAGCACAGCTGCCAGCCCAACCTCTTCATCCAGAACGTCTTCACCGACTCCCACGACCCCGGCTTCCCCGTCATCGCCTTCTTCACCAGCAGGTGAGGAAGAGGAGGAGGAAGAGGAGGAGGAGGAGAGAGGCTGATGATGTTCACTGAGAACTGATAATATATAATCTATATTAATATATATATTAATATAGATTATATATTAATATATTAATCTATTAATTAATATAATATATAATATATTAATAATATATTATATATTATAGATTGATAGATTAATATAGATTATATTCATATATATATTATTAATATATTATATATTAATATTAATTAATAGATTAATGTATTTATAGATTTATAGATTAATATATAATATATAATTAATATATAAATATATAATATATAATTAATATATAAATATATAATATATAATTAATATATAAATATATAATATATAATTAATATATAAATATATAATATATAATTAATATATAAATATATAATATATAATTAATATATAAATATATAATATATAATTAATAATTCATATATAATATATTAATATTAATATTCTTTGTGTCTCAGGGTTGTGAAGGCCGGCACCGAGCTCACCTGGAATTACTCCGCCGACACACAGAGGAAACAGGAAGTGGCCTGTCTGTGCGGCAGCAGTGGTTGCCGAGGACAGTTCGCCATCGACCTGTGTGACCTGTGTGACGTGGAAGGTGACACACAGGAACCGGGTTCGGGCTAACACCCATTGAAACACAGGAATATGTATTTTTTGTACCACGCTGCTGTGACTCTGGTTTTTCTAAATAAAAGGATTCAACATGGAAAATCAGTGCAGGTGGTTTTATTTTGAAAGATTGTCGTAATGTGTGTTTGTGGTATTGTTTTTAATCACGAGTTGGAAGTTTTAATATAGTTCGGAGTCAACGTTAGCTTTTTACTCCTGCTGTTCAGTTGTGACTTGGCTAGTAGAAAGCTATCATTAGCTTTGTACCGCTACATCATTTATTGTTAAATGCTAACGTATCCACTCAGGTAGCACTACTTCACAATGTGACATTGGGAAGCTTTATAAACACTTTGTCGTTGTTTGTGTTCACCAGCAGAGGACGCTACATCATCAGCAAAGAAATGCTCCTCGTGTAAAGGAGGTCATCATTTAACAGCAAGTGGATACAGAATCATGAGCGCCTTCATAAAGGGATCTCAGAGATTAAATATATAAAATGTGTTTCTGCCACCTGAGTTTATAGAGAATATTATATCTATTAGGGTCGGGCTCCCTGTATGTGCAGAAACCAACACACTAGCGTTGTAAGCTAATTAGAGGTTTGTGCTAAAACTAGTCACGTGCGATTAGAAAGAAAACATATCCCAGAGTCCGGACCAACTCTTTCTCAACAAAAATCAGTAGACTGGTGCTGAAGTTGTGTGTGAGTTACTGGTTATTTTTTCTGAAGCTTTGTTAATAACCCTAATTCATTGTTAGGTAGGCTAATCTCTCTCTCACCCTCTTTCTCGACTCGGTGCCTTTTTTGATAGTTTTGAGTTACATTTGGCAAAACCTGTCCGAACTAAGTATTATATATTTTTGGTTAAGTTATAACATGATTGTTTTTTTTATATTATTATTATTATTATTTTGGGAAAAAACAAGGGTAAGCTGTGTTTATGAGCACTGGCTTCTAGCTGCAGGCTCCACTGCTGGGGCAATAGAAGACTTTCCTTCTGGTGACCTTCCGTTCTCAGGATACCTGTCTGCTGCTTCAGGAGTCCAGCGGGCACAGATGACCTCCTTTGCACAGCTGCCAACTGCTGCCGTTCAGACACTGATTGACAGATGTATTGTTGATGACATTTCTAGTGGGGCCAAAGGAGTTCTGGTCCAGGGCAGCAAAATGGCCAGAACTGCTTTAGTCCTGGTTTGGTTTAATGGTCTTAGTTCTGTCTTTGAACCCTGGTTTGGGGCAATATTTAGCTTTGATTTGGTCCCAGAAGAAGAATATCTGTCTCTGTTTGGTCTTCCTTGTGTTTTACAGCTATGTACTAATTTCCTTCCAATTACCACTGGGCAGGTAGCATCCAATCAGACTGTGTGATACTGTCCACAGTATTATATTGCCGCTGCTGGAACAACTCCTCCAGGAGATCGCTGCAGTGAGACGCTCTGCCCTATTCCTCCCTCCCTTCCCTCACGGACACCTGTTGATAGTTGACTCTGTTTAGGACCCGATCAGGGACGTCTCCATGGCAACCTGCTGTGTTATCGTGATGACACCATGTGAACTGAGGCACTGATTGAGAGGCTAGACGAAGAGACTCTCCAGGCTTATGTGCACACACGCACCCATGGACACTTACACATGCGCATATGCAACATGCGCATATGCAACACACCCCTCGACCTTTAGCTTGTCTTTGTCTCTGTGTGGACAGTCATAATGTGAGCTCATTCTTCATGATTCCTCCACAGAGTGGACCAGGAGAGCTCAGAGGTTCCCAGTGGTCAGTCTGCCCAGCAGCATCAAACACACCTGGACTCCATATTTATGGTCTGTACATGGACAACAACTACTTTTACATCTATTGTGTTCACAATAATCTCCAATCTGCACTTTTTTGACCAGTGGATTGTCAGTCTGTCCAACATGGATCTGATGTTTGCATCTTGCTGTCATCAGAAAAAGATCTGGACGTGTTTGACCTGAAGAAATACTCTGCTTCAGAGGAGGCTCTTCTGAGGCTGCTGCCAGTGGTCAAAGCCTCCAACAAAGCTCTGTAAGTGGGATTTATTCATCAATAAATACACTGATATATTTCAACAGGAGAACAACATCAATCAGTTATTACTTGTCTCCTTACTGTTGTCTCTCCAGTGGTTGTAACCTCTCAGAGAGAAGCTGTGAAGCTCTGTCCTCAGTTCTCAGCTCCCAGTCCTCTAGTCTGAGAGAGCTGGACCTGAGTAACAACAACCTGCAGGATTGAGGAGTGAAGCTTCTGTCTGCTGGACTGAAGAGTCCACATTGTGAACTGGAAACTCTCAGGTCAGGATTCATGAACCCATTCAACTGATGACCATTTAAAGTGTGATTTACATTAGTGGATAAACAGCTAACCTGTGTAGGATTGTGTCTGCTAATATGATTTGTCAAAGGATCTTTAACTAAACTTCAGCAATAGTTTCTAGACTCAGAGAATTACTTTCCATGAGGATTTCTATCATTTGTTGTTGCATTATAGAACACCACAGAGGATTTTAAAGATTTATTCTACATTTGTATCTGGACCAAAATGTACCTGAACAAGAACCAAAACCACAGAGCCAAGTATTCACAGGGGGGTTCCTCAAGAACTGGTTTCAGGATAAAGAGCAGACTGGTTTCCTCTGTCTGGTGGCGACTTTGATAAACCATTGTGAAGTCACATTTTTCTTTTGTGAGTTCACACAGCGCTCTGCTCAAAGTCTTTATTGTCCCTTTTTCACCAAAGTTTCACTCTTCATAAACACATTGTAATGTTTTTAGCATGATAGCAGCGTGGCTCTATGGATGGTAATGTGGGTCTGTCAGTCTGTCCTCCACTTTGGTCCAGACTGAAATATCTCAAAAACTATTGGATGGATTGTGATGAAATGTGATTCAGACATTCATGTTCCCCTCAGGATGAATTGTAATAACTTTATTGATCCTCTGACTTTTCCTCTAGCGCCACCATCAGGTCAACATTTGAATGTGTCCAATACTTTGGTTCATGAGCAAATACCTGCAGAACTAATGACATTCCCATCAGCCTCAGCTGCACTTTGTGTTTACTGCTAACGATCTAATGAGTAAAAACTAAGATTATTTCTTTATTTGCAGACGATCTCTGCTTGTATTGGACGCAGCAGTACCCTCAGATGATCTGCCATGTGTGTTGTTTTGTGTGTTTGCAGGCTGTCAGGCTGTCTGATCATGGAGGAAGGCTGTGCTTCTCTGGCCTCAGCTCTGAGCTCCAACCCCTCCCATCTGAGAGAGCTGGACCTGAGCTACAATCATCCAGGAGACTCAGGAGTGAAGCTGCTGTCTGCTGCACTGGAGGATCCACAGTGGAGACTGGACACTCTCAGGTAGGAAGAGGCCTGCTGCAGACACAGACAGTCAGTCTGATAGAGGAGGTCTGTTTGCCTCATGGTGGATATGAGTGTTATATGAACAATCACACATGTAGGAAGCCTTTTTCTGTTCCTCCGAACATAAACACTGGTTGAACATAAAAGGAGAAATTTGTGTAGGAGGTCTCTGAGCAGAACAAACCTGATAATTGTCTGTTGGTAATAACTGATGCAGTTTGGACAGATCTCTGCATGTTAAAGGAACTGTCTGTCATTGGGAGAAATATCCTGTTTGCCCTATAACCCGGGATCCAATCAGTTTCATCTCTGTACAGAGATAGGTCCAGGACAGTTTTAGCCTAGCTTAGCACAAAGACTGGAAGCAGAGGGAAACCGCTAGCCTTTTTCTCATCAAACTATATTAAGTCTTTAGGCACATGGGACTACTATTTCTTCCTAAAATGGTAGAAAATGTCCTGAATAAGCTGTAAAAGTGTAAGAATTTCTATTATTTTCAGCACACACATGCAACGTGCTCCTATCTATATATTGCATATAAAGGAAAGTTGCACACAACTGTTATTAATTGAGGTAAAAGCTGCACTGAAGCACCAAACAGTGGAGAGAGAAACTCCCTTCAGACAGCAACAAGACCAACAGATTACAGAGAGTTTGTATCTTTATACTTTATTGTTTCAAATACAAATATGAAAGAACAGCTTCATGCAGACATGTTGTTTCTTAGTGCAATGAAGAGATATTTAACTGTCAATCATACATTGGATTGACTGGAACTAATGTACTTGAAGTGTGCACTGTGTTATCTAAACAATCCGATTGGGACTCGGTATTGGCAGATACTCAATATTAAATGACTCGAATTTGATCAGGGGCTAAAAAACTTGATCGGGACATCCCTGCTAAGAATTAAAAAAGTTTTTTTTATTTAAACATGAAATGACATAGGGTGCATATAATGATACGGTCTGTATAGTGGCGTACAAATCAAACTAATAGATATGTGCTGGGACCCAGTGAGTTTGTAGCTAGTTAATTAGTTAACGTTATCCATCCTCCATCGTATTGACATCGTATTACACTGATGTAATGTCCATGTTTGCATGCTGCTCTGACCCCCCTCCTCCTTTCAGGGTGGAGCCTGCTGGAGTCCGATGGTTGAGACCAGGTCTGAGGAAGTGTAAGTGTGAAAACAAAGCAGCACACATTCAACCATCTTCACACTGTGACATCACTCATTCACAGCTCTGATGTCATCATCAAAGTGTCAATCAATGATCAGATGATAGATCAATAACTGCAGCTGTATTGTGTCTTGTTCTCTCCATCAGATTCCTGTGAACTCACAGTCGACACAAACACAGTGAACAGAAACATCAAACTGTCTGACAACAACAGGAAGATGATGTTTGTGAAGGAGGATCAACCATATCCTGATCATCCAGACAGATTTAACTGCTGGGAACAGCTGCTGTGTACAAATGGTCTGACTGGTCGCTGTTACTGGGAGGTGGAGTGGAGAGGAGGGGTTTATATAGCAGTGAGTTAAGCACTTGGTATACTCGCCGTTGCCGACCTGTCGCGCGACAGTGTGACGTCACGGGAGCGCCGTAACTATTTATACTTGCGCGTGGTGGTCGCGACACTAGATGCAGTCTTCTCCTGAACAGAGGTGTCGCTACTGAGGAAAGGCTACCGACTTTGCTATTTCTAGGCAC